GAGTATCGGGGAATGGCCCATGGTGTATCTGAGTTACTATGGTTGAGAAGATTGTTGAAAGACCTTGGTTTTGGGCCTAATAAACCCATGGAGTTATATTGTGACAATACGGCTGCGATTGCAATTGCTCATAATCCTGTACAACATGACCGTACAAAGCATGTGGAGGTTGATCGAAATTTCATTAAGGAAAAGTTGGATGCGCAGATTGTGTCCTTCCCCTTCATCCGTTCAGAGTATCAGTTAGCTGATGTTCTTACGAAAGCTGTTTCTACAAGTATCTTTCTCAACTCGCTTGACAAGTTGGGCATGCGTGACGTCTTTGCTCCAACTTGAGGGGGAGTGTTGGCGAGTCCTAGTCCTATTCTATTTGGGTTTTATTTATTTTACCTTTTGTGTAGATATTATGTAATTAGGATTCCACTTATTTCCTAATTAAACCCTACTAGGGTTTGTAACCTGTATTATAAATACCTCCTTTCGGAGAATGAAATATATCTGAAAATATTCTACCCATATTATTTGACTTGGTGTGGGTCAACCAGGATGAGAGAGCGTGCTTTGCACTTTCGGATTGCATCTTTTGGTATGGGTAATTTCAACCCGATTGTAGCATAACAGTTCAACCATGAGATTGATCTGATGGCTATAAAGTGAACCCCTTATAACTTACCCCTTATTATCAAATCTAATTTCTTTCTTTTACGGCATTTCATACAAACAAACCCTACATGCAGTCGGAGTAAAAAAGGTTCAACGCATGTTAGCTATATGAAATGTAAACCTACGTGTGTCTATATCAATCTGTCGTGGAAAGCATATGCCAATTAATATCAATAATGCAATGGAGGATGTGACTTGAATTGAAAAAAGGTATGCAACTTGAGAAAATAAATTGACAAAAAGGACAAAAGTGAGAACGAAAGGAAGAGAAAAACAAAGGTTGAATAGCTATAGGACATAAGATTAAAGATATGGTCTAGTGTTTGGTCAATATAAGATTAAAGTTGAATGATTGGGACCTACGTCTTCTTCTCGGAAACCCACCTTCGTACCTTTGTGGTGTGGGCCGTTTGGTTTGGTAGAGCATTTCATTTGGAGGGACAGGCTTTCATTTTTAGGCCCAACCTTGTACCAAAAACTAAACAAATGAATAAATAATTGTGTCACCATGCTTCTTTTTATTTATTTAAGAAAAGGGTAAATCCCCGTTTCCCCTTATACTTTACCCCCTCGATTATTTTTTGGGTAATGCAAAACTTACCACATTTATATACCACATTATATACCATATCTTTAATAGAGGTAGAGCCTACCAATACAATTGGGCACACCTCTATTAGAAAGGTAATACACAATGTTGTATATAAATATGGTACGCCTAGCATTTTCCTTATATTTTTATAATCAATTTAGCACTCAGATTCTCTATAAATAGTGAATTTCAACCGTACCATCAATGTTTTATAATTTCATCCAATTTTCATCAAAATGTCACTTGCTAGACAAAAATCTACCCCTAACCTACCCCTCGTGCCTAGGGCTTTCTGGATTTTGGTAACTTCCCCTCAAGCTCATCTTGGCATGAAGCCATCACACACAACTTGTCATTTTGTTCACTGCGGAAGAAGTCTGACCTCACATTTGTCATCTTGTTTGTTTTTTTGCCAAAAGTAGTGTTGTGCCAAGTGCTTGTGTGTGCCTCTCCAACATGGGAAATACTTGCCTTCTTCTTTGGAAGTAGGAATTCCTACTTTTCTGCTAATCACAGTTTGACATGTCTGTTGAGATTCTTCTTTTTATGTTTTTTATGAATTATTTTTGTATATGTGCCAAACTTTGATTTGCAGGAAGTAAGAATGCCTCCTTCTAAGTAAGGAGGGAAGTAGTGTCCCTCAAACATATGGAAACAATATATTGTTTGTGTTAAAATAAAATAAAATTATTGTTTCCTTAGGAAGAATATTGAGAGGGCAGCCAAGAAAAGTTTTATGAGAGGGCCAATATATTTGTGAGAGGGCCACTCAAGAGTAAAATCATGGCCACCTCAGGGTAGACAAAGTTTAGTGTAACATGGTTGGTTGTTGTGTCCTTGTGTGTGTACAATAGATTGAAATTATCGCTTTCAGTCTGGATGCGTGTTCAATAGGTTAGCTCATCAATTCATACTTTAAATTAACATAATTTATAAGTAGCGGGGATTGAATTTGAGTGCAACGCTTCGCTTACTACACTAATCAAATGATCTAACACACGTTTGCATTTATAATTATTCCTTCATTGCATTAACTGCATTATCCAAATATAAGTTACTAAAATTTATAGCATAGCTAAATAAGTTGAACCCCCAAACCTTGACCTTTTGATCATTGGTTTCGAAGGTTATTACATATTAAGAAAACCTGGCTATAACTATATATATTATCAATATAATGCAGAAATTAGAGTAGGTATCATTTTAATTAGGGGCATTTTGGTCCTCCTCTCTTGGTCTTCCAGTTGTTGTAGCAAGGGCAAACTTGCTTGTTTCCATATGTTCCAGGAGGCACACACAAGCACTTCGCACAACACTTTTGGCAGAAAAACAGACAAGGCTTCTTGTATGCCGTGGCCGAGCACCGAGTAGTGCACCGCGGTCCGCACTCTAAACACATAAGTTTAAGGTTAATTAGTCACATTAAGCCTTCAAAGCTCAACGGAAACAAAAACATCATTTGGAAAATCAGATTGTTATTTATTACTCAAGCATGCTAGATGGAATGTTTATTTTACTGTTTTGATATTATACATTTGTAGTTAAGTTATGAACATGTATATGCAGGTAGATATTAAGATTAAATTATGAATATATTCACATATTTTATAGGTATATATTAACATAGTAAATCCATCAATGGTGATGATAACGGGCCGATTCAGAACCGAGTATGACAATACCATCTCCATCCTTACTCTCCCAAACCTGCCCTAAATCCCCCATTTTTTACCTTAGATTGCCCTTCTTCTTTTAATTTTGTGGGCCACCATGGCAGCTGGGTTGTCAGATAAATAGTAAAGGACGAAGAAAATAACAGGTAACATTTTAAACATTTTATTCCCGTGGCCAATTTAAGCCCACGTTATAACTTCTTAATTACTTATGGTTGAATATATTTTGTATAGACTTTTTAGGCCTTGTAAATTGTAATAGCTCCTCTTTCTCCAAAATTAGAAGATAAGAGTTAAATAAATGTATAACCCACCTTGAGGACGAAGGCTGCCTTGGGTAGTACCATACTGCAAAATTACAAAGAATAATTAAATTTTTTAATTTAACCATAGAAATTAAGCTTCAACTTATTCTGAACTGATGACAAAGAAAAATAATATTTATATATATAAATGGTCTCACTGGTTGGTAATTCTCTTGTTGTTGCAATGCTGGTGTTTCCACAGTAGAGGCCTGCAAAATTCAATGGAAAACACATTATAGTAAGGAGAGAGAGAGAGAGAGAGAGAGAGAGAGAGAGCTGCAGAAGTGCTAGGGTTACCTGGTTTGCTTCTAGTAAAACAAGCATCAAAGCTGCTACACAGAGCATGAAAATGCCTAACTTAAAAGCCATTTTCTTTGTCTTGAAATTTGGATTGGAGATTTTTTTTTTAAAAATGAAGTTCAAAAGCGCAAGTTGAGATGATGAGAGAGAGAGAGAGTTGTGTGGAGCTATGAAGGAAGGTGGTGGTATTTATAAGCAGTTGCAGTGGGGCATTAGCTATAACTCATTTTGCAGTTTCAATTTCAACATATTGGTTTTCAGGTCACGATGCAATTTCGAATGAATTTTTCTGCTTTCGTGTAAGATTACGACAATGTTTGCCGTTTTAACAAGGGAGGCACATGACATGGCTCACGTCATCTTATCTGCGCCACGATAAAGACCAACAACTTCAGGTTTTAGTGAAATTTGTGAAAACTCTAAAGTATCCTTCGTTCTTTTTTGTTTTCTATAGTAATTGGCTAACTTTGTTCACTTAAAAAAATATCTGAAAGATGGAAAGAAAAGAGAGAAGGATAATTTGAGAATTCCTCGTATCCGAAATAAAGTTACAGAACACCACAATGAGTTTGTCACAATTAGATATCGAATTCATCACAAATATATATCGTCATTGCACAATCAATACAAATCGAACGTGAGATCTTCTTCAATTAAGTAAAGACAAATACCATTAGATCAAATTAGTTGGGGTGCCATGTAACTGCTAGTTTGGTGAAGATGAAAAACTATACCCTGTCTTCTCTGAGATAATATGAGGTTTTCCTTTCCAATTCTTATATCTATTTGTCACCTACCTACCTACCTACCTACCTATATCTATTTTTTTCACCACATAATTGCAATTGTCCAAGGCTAAAATGGTAACTATGTCAGAAAAATGTGGGGACTGATTGTTGATGGTCTCTTATCTCATCCATGTGCAGAGGAAAACAGTTGGGCATTGATAGACCCCTCAACATGTGCAATGCACATGCCCTATCTATCTTGGACCCGAAAGCGACCGTCCATATGCTAACAGTATCAACAGAGCGGGTTGATATTTTTCAAAATGATTGAGAGCTTCTTTGCTAATGCATCAAACAAAGAAACTAAAACTAAAACTAAAATGCAACCAAAGGTTTGTGAATTGTGAGGAGTTTGTTCAACCAAAGGTTTGTGGATCGTCAGATCAATCCAACGGTACTGCAGCTTTCTTTCTCCATATTTTTTCTCTTTTCGAAACCAAATATGGACACAATTGTTTCATTCTTTCTCTCTTCTTTTTCATTTTTTCATACTTTTCTTTCACAATTGTTTCAGTCTCTCTCTTCTTTTTTATTTTTTCCTTCTCTCGCTTTTTCTCAATTTTTCATTCTATATGTTTTTTTTTTTGTCGTCATGGTTTGTCTCTCTTTGAAACCAATTGTCACTGTTTGTTTGAGTACCTATGTTTTCTTTATAATTGACATGCTCCAGCAAGAAATATACTTTAAGCAAATAATACCTTATTATTAAGACAAAGTTGAAAGAACTCGTGAAATATAAAGTTCCACAAATTACTTGTACTTGCAGCATCTCTTTGGTTAAAATTCATCTGTATTAAAAAAAATCTAAAAGATTCACAAGTCCCCATGTTTATTCGCAGAGCCTTAGACTCAAGTGCAAGATGTCCCATTTCATGATTGTAGTATGCAACCCACATTTGTACTTCTAGGTAACTTTTAACTTGTTAGAGGAAAATTAAATATTAGAATGTGTTCAATTTTCCTGCAAATAAACTAACACACATATAAACATCAATATTACTTAAGGAGGAAGAACTCTCATATGTATCAGATAAATTTCAATTTGCATCATCGCAAGTGGAAGATCTGCATCAAAGGAAAACAATAATTAAGACGATTGATGCAATATTCATATATTTAAAAAATTGAATAATAATTGCACATACTCACCCATTTTTTAGCATTGGACAATTTCTTTTATCGTGTGATTGTCCAATTTTTCCGCATTCATGACAACGCCTACCCTTACTCTTTGCTTTCTCTTTTCCTCTTTTTAGTTGTTTTCCACAACCTTTTGCTCTAACTGGAAGTGGTTAAACTAAACTTGTGTGCTTGAGTAGTACTACATTTTTCAGGAACTCCACTTGTAGCATCAACTATAGGTTTGATCTCCTCAAGCGCATTTTGCAATGTTTTTGCAACAATGTCACTTGCCTCTTCATTGGTCATAGCTTTATCAAATTATATTTGAAGCGAGTTTAAACAATCTAGTGCGTCTCACAAGAAATGATTTGTTAAAAAAATCATTTAATTCTAGACCGTCATCATAAAAAACTCTCAAAATTTTCATTTTTAGTCCATCTCTTCAAGATATATTGATGTAGCAAATAAGTTGAAGGAAACATGCATCTAATGCTTGGGAAATGAACTTTAGCCACAACCTATACAACAAAAACATTCTAAATGGTGAATTCATTTTGTTTATACTAGTTGTGCTAAACCTTTTTCATTTTAAACCAAGTATTTTAGCCTAGTCTCTTTGAACACAAATAGAAAATGGAAAAAGGGAATAGATCTTTACCCTTGATGACCTAATAAGAGCTAAATGAACATATAATCAGGTTCAAAATTAATTCATAGGGCTACTCAAAGAGGCATCTACATGAACATATAATGACCAGCCCTAAATTTCATTAACAGAGACCAGAGAGAGAGACTCACTCGCGCAGCTTCAAACTCCATCTGCAGACTGCTAGCGTTTCTTATGATTTTGTAGAGAACTTGTGTGTAATTTACTTTTATGTCCCATATTGGTGCATTAGGGCCATTGTTGTATTGGTCCAAATCACTAGCTCCATGAACAAAATAGCCCAAGCCCAAGCCTCAAACTAGAATTCGATATTGGCTGGGTTGACACTGACAGGTATCGAATTGGAATCTATGTATTTTTTGTCTATATTATAATTTACAATTTATTTGCTTTAATTTTGTAAAATAGAACTTATTTGTGTCAATAATTATGTCAAATTCATACATAACTTTTTGGAAATTTATCAGGTTCGTTTAGAGTCCGCCCATTTAATAAACGGGCCATGATGGGCCCGTCCATTTATGAAAATCATCAATCCTAGCCCGAGCCCACGGTCCTAGCCCATATGGGATCGGGTCATGCTTGTATTGGGCCACTAAACAAGCCAATATATGGGCCCAAGCCAAATTTGACATATGTATTGCTTTTATTTTTGTAATTTTTTTACAACTTCATTTAAATCTTTTTTACAATGTATATACTAACAAGATTTAAACAAAAGGCCAATAACTTTATTTACAGTATATTTAAATAGAAAATGGCTAGATTATTGTTTGGGTTTTAAAAATTGAAACTTGAAAAATAAAATTATATATATAGGCAGAGAATGGTGAGACATTCAAAATACTAGAAAATGCACTTGGTTAATGAAACACTAGCCTCTCTGCACACGCTTCCGTGCCTGCGAGAGGCTTTTAAAAAAAAAATTATTTTAAAATTAAAAAAGATAATTGGTAGTTGTGCTTCATAAAAATAGGACCCATTATCTGATTTTTCTTTTAATTTTAATTTTTTAATATGAAAAAGTGTGAATTTACCATATTATCCTCATTTAATTAATAATTTCAATTCTTAATATTTGCATTAACTAAGGGAATTTTTTGGTATTTTGAATGTTTCACCATTCTCTACCTTTTGCTTTATATATATAGATTAAGAATTGAAATTGTTAATTAAATGAGGATAATATGGTAAATTCACACTTTTGTATTAAAAAAATAATAAAATTAAATACAAAATCAGATAATGAATCCTATTTTTGTGGAACACAACTACCTGTTATCTTTTTTAGGGGGTGTATCCAATTCAAACTTTTAATGACTTTTATAGAGTTTAAAAGTCTGGAGGTATTCAATTTAGACTTTTAAAGAGTATATAAAAGTCTAGTGGTATTCAATTGTGACTTTTAAGAAGTATTTAAAAGTTTGGTGGTATTCAGTTATGACTTCTAAAGAGTATTTAAAAGTTTGGTGGTATCCAAAAAGTTAATGACTTTTAAAAAGCTTATTAAATGAATGACTTTTCCATACTTCTAAGACTAATTGTTAAGAGCAAAAGTCTTGCCAATTTACTAGTGACTTTTATCAACTCTATGAAAGTATTTAAGAATTTGTCAACTCTATGAAAGTCACTCACTTAAAAAAAGTCTTTATAAGTATGAATTGGATACACCCCCTTAATCTATATATATAAAGCAAAAGGCAGAGAATGGTAAAACATTCAAAATACCAAAAAATGCCCTTGGTTAATGCAAACATTAAGAATTGAAATTATTAATTAAATGAGGATAATATGGTAAATTCACACTTTTTCATATTAAAAAATTAAAATTAAAAGAAAAATCATTTAATGGGTCCTCTTTTTATAGAACACAACTAACCATTATCTTTTTTAATTCTAAAATAAATTTAAATTTTTCTAAAAAAAGCCTCTCGCAGGCATGGAAGTGCGTGCGGAGAGGCTAGTTCTAAAATAATAAAATAAAATAAAATAACCAATTCCAGAAGAAGGAAAGCGTTGTTTAATATAGCATGTTCTGTTTACAATCCCCAGCGTCTTCTCTTGTTCTATATCTAGGGTTTCCGTAACCCTCAATTATACTTCAATTCCCTTCTTCGCTCTCTAGGGTTTGCTCCTTTGCTTTGTATGTTACTTGAACTCTTTGCGTTTTTTATTTAATCTTTTATGAGTTATATATTGGCCTTGTTTGGTTTCTGGTTTACGTGGATTTTGGTGCTTGATAGATATTGATTTAGTTTCACTTGTCTCGCAGCAAACATCATGTCAGACCTCAATACATTTGAGGTGACGGAGGATTCTGTAGAAGATGTAAGTATTAGATTTTTGTATTTGCACCTCATTTGACCAATGTGAAATTGAGTTGCAATTACAAAAAAACTTCCACTCTCCTTCCTATTTCACAGTATCTGTTTGATTTGCTCTTTTTCTTTCTCTCTTACTCTGATAAAGAAATCTAATATGCTTAACAATTTCATGCTGTTTAAAGCTATGTATTTGTATATGTATGCATCTATTTTTATTGGTTTTTTGGATGCAATATCTGCAGGCTTTTGATAAGATTATAAAACTTATTTGGGAGAATGATTATGAGCTGTCTAAAGAGAAGCCTAAGACAGTTATGGGTTCGTGAGGGCCCAGAGCAAACTAATTTTCTGAATTTCGTGGATGTGTGCAAGACGTAGGTTTCAGTTCCCTTGTCAGATGAACCAAAACCATTGTTCTTATCTCATCCGAACCATTGATGTGTTTCTTTCCCTTTAGTTCAATTACTTTGTTCATTCAAATCTGTTCTGACCGTTTCTCATTTTACCTATATATATCCCTCTCCCATAGAGGTGTTTCTATAGATTTAATATGGCTGTCCATAATTGTAAAAAATAAAAGATTATATAGCATAAACCCTGATTATATAATGAATATACCAATTTATTACTTTAATAATCCCATCTAAAAGCGTTCTCCCAGATCACGTCATGGCTTTCTTGCTGGCTGAACTGGGGGCAAGCGGATCACTTCATAAGCAACGGAGGTTATATGTGGATGGAAGATTTCCTGCAGAGGACTTTGAGGAAATACTGCGGCGATATGCCAGTGAGTACTTTGCTTGTGGTTTGATTGATTTATTTATTTATTGATCAGAGAGTGTTTGTGCTTTACTATTTGCTTTCTTGTGTTGCGCACTTGTTACCATATTCTCTCTCTCTCTTTTTTTTCTTATGACACTGTTGTTCTTTTTCAGCTGAATATGTCATTTGCATTGGGTGCAAAAGTCCAGACACTACACTTTCAGAGGATAATTGTCTGTTCTTTCTCCGATGCGAGAAGGTAACAATCATATATACAATGCCGTCAGCATCTCTAATATTAGTTGGTCATTGATTTTTTGATTTTAGTAGTTGTGCTACCCACGTCAATTTAGGAATCCTATCCCCGAGACTGGCATCCTCTTGGATTCAGGGTACACCATGGATTTGGCTTAGGAGCAGTTGGATTCACTCATAGAAAGTTTTTAGCATACAAACTACAAGAAAATAGAGAATGTTTTTAGCACTTTCATGCTGCAATACATTATCTTGTTGAAGAGTCATATGATGATGATACGGCGATTTGCCGTAATTCTCTGATGGGTGTTTACCCATAGTTTCTACCTTATATAGCCTGGCATATGCTTTGAAGTTTGAGTTATCTTGCCGTCTTTCAGTTTCCAGTTAATTGATTTGGTAATTCATTTATTGCAGTGTGGTGCCGTGCAATCAGTTTGCTCCTGTCCAGCAAAGGAGCCCGAGCATCAACATGGCAGACCTCAGTCTGAATGAGGGGAAGGACAAGGTGGTCGCCGATGTAAGTTTCTGTCATACCAACTGATTATAGTCTGCAAAAGATATTATCTAATTTCCCTGACACAGTTTTAGCGTAAAAAGAGGATTGGATAGTATTACAAAAGGGGAACTGAAAGTGGAAAATTAATGGTGATCTAATAACAACCCAAATGGAAAAAGGTATTGATTCATTGTAGAGTGGAAAGTTTTCCTAGATTGGTGTGGTGCATTCTACTAAGATTGTTGTGCTTACCTGGCTAGAATGTGATGTGATGGGGGTTCAAGTTGCTAGTCCAGTGAGCTATACTGAGTTGATGTCTTGATTCTCTTGGACTAGAGCCAAGTATTGTGGTTTTTCATCCCAGCTTTTCTCTTTTTTTTTTATTTTTTCGGGTTGCAGATTTCCCCCTTCGATCCTACTGAAAAGAAGAAAAAGAAGAAACAGAAGAAACAGAAGAAACAAGGTCATTTAATTGAACCATTGATTTCTACGTACAGTTTTCATATTATGCTCTGCATGCGTTGTCTCTGGAGGTACTCATTTTATATTTCTGGCCTTTTAGAGCGCGTCGGTGAGGATGGACCACGACTTGTACTAAAGATCACTAATAACTATCCTTGGCAGCGAAGCATGCAAGGTTACGCGCTCCAGATGCTCTAAGAAAAATTAATGATGGCATTTAAAATGACCAAAATTAATGTTCGAGAATTTGTGCAATTCCTTTAAATTGTACTCCACTGAGTAGGAGATGAAGCTTTAGACTTTTGTACCTTGTACACGATTTAAATAACAAACTTAAAAATTATTTTATTTCGCACCTGTTTTTCAATAAAGAACTTCTAGAAACTGCAGCAAAGGTACAAATGTATCTAAATGAAGAGCCAAACGTGGAAAGAAATGTCCTAAGTTTAAGTTGACAGCATGTGAATGAAAACCATCACATTTCGATCAATTGAAAGATTTCCCGAGTAATTGATGAGAGAACTAAGGCCTATGACGAATGAGATAAAATGTGGTTTTATTCTTGTGCTCTCAATCTCTTTCTGAATTTCATGTCAGAGACCACTAGTAGCAATGATACATACCATAACAGTCAGGAACCTCATCAAAATACGAATCCTGTTGCAATTTCCAGAATCTACTGTTGCAATTTCCAGAATCTAAGGCATCCTGAAAATCAAACACAAAGAATAAAAAAGAAGAGGTCGATGTTAAAACATGCCCACGATACATACCATAACAGTCAGGAACCTCATCAAAATACGAATCCTGTTGCAATTTCCAGAATCTAAGGCATCCTGAAAATCAAACACAAAGAATAAAAAAGAAGAGGTCGATGTTAAAACATGCCTCAATAAAAACAATGAAGGATACATCAAAAGAAGATGAAAATAACCATCTACCAGCTTTTGATTTTCAAATATAGCGTCATACGCAAGTAAAATAATCTCATTAACCTAATCAGTAAATGGGCAGCTCAAACTCCAAGATTGCTTTTCAATAAGAAACCAAAGTACAACTTAATGGGACAAGATGTTCACTTGTTTTATCCCACTATTTCAATTCACTTGATCTTATCTCTTTCCTTTTGTTTATAAATAAGAAACCAACATAAATGGGCAGCTCAAATTAGATTATTACAAACCTTGGAGGACAATATATCCCCTAAGGACGGAGCATATAAGTATCAAATGATGAAAACAAATATTATAATCACAGCTATAATTCCTAAACAAAAGCAGATTATAAGAGAAGGCAGTTCATTGTTGAAAAAATCACTATGAGAAACTATGAGAAAATCAACCTGTTTGGTAAACTATGAGAAAATCACTTATCTTTAAAAATTGGTGTAAGAAAAAGCAGTTTATTGTTCTTTGTTTGAAACTGCTGTTGTCCATTCAAATCTCTTCTGACCGTTTCTCATTTTACCTATATATATCCCTCTCCCATAGAGGTGTTTCTATAGATTTAATGGATGTCCATAATTGTAAAAAATAAAAGATTACATAGCATATTCCCTGATCATATAATGAATCTACCAATCTATCACTTTAATAATCCCATCTAAAAGCGTTCTTCCTTAAAATTACAGGATGCATAGGCACCCAGATCACGTCATGGCTTTCTTGCTGGCTGAACTGGGGGCAAGCGGAACGCTTCGTAAGCAACAGAGGTTATTTGTGGATGGAAGATTTCCTGCAGAGGACTTTGAGGAATTACTGCGGCGATATGCCAGTGAGTACTTTGCTTTGTGGTTTGATTGATTGATTGATTTATTTATTTATTGATCGGAGATTGTTCTGAAAACTCCCTTATTGATGATGCATGCTTCTCAGTTATGTTTGTCCTTTACGATTTGCTTTCTTGTGTTGCGCACTTGTTACTATATTCTCTCTCTTTTTTTTCTTTTTTTTCTTATCACACTATTGTTCTTTCTCAGCTGAATATGTCATTTGCATTGGGTGCAAAAGTCCAGACACTACACTTTCAGAGGATAATTGTCTACTCAGATGCGAGAAGGTAACAATTATACAATGCATTAGTTGGTCATTGGTTTTCTGATTTTAGTAGTTGTGCTACTCACGTCAATTTGGGGATCCTATCGCTTAGACTGGCATCCTCCTGGATTCATGTTACACCATGGATCTGGCTTAGGAGCAGTTGGATTCATTCATAGAAAGTTGTTAGCGTACAAACTATAAGAAAATAGAGAACGTTTTTAGAACTTTCATGCTGCAATACAATATCTTGTTGAAGAGGCATATGATGATGATACGACGATTTGCCGTCATTCTCTGCTGGGTGTTTGTATATCACGTATGTCTCTGGTTTTTCAATCCTATATATAGTTTGAGTTATCTTGCTGTCTTTCAGTTTCCAGTTAATTGATTTGGTAATTCATTTTATTGCAGTGTGGTGCCGTGCAATCAGTTGCTTCTATCCAGCAAAGGAGCCATTTTGATCCTACTGAAAAGAAGAAACAGAAGATCTTCTGGTGGTACTCATTTTATATTTCTGGCCTTTTAGAGCGCGTCAGTGAGGATGAAGAAGGATTGTACTAAAGACCTTTGACTATACTTGGCCGGTAAGTATGCAAGGTTACGCGCTCCAGATGTTTCATTCTGGGTGAGTCTATACTCATCTCTCCCAACCAGGCTTCCGTGTGAATTCGCTTTTCTATCCATTTTCAGAAACAAATTTAAAATTACGGGGGCTAAAACTTTTGCACTCCCATTATTGGCACATACGTTGACATTGGGCGTTTTGTGCAGTTGTCTGTATAAGTAACAAGTCTTCCTTTTTTGCTGTGTTATTTGATATTATCTCATACGTGATTTAGGGGCTATTCTATTTCTATTTGTTATATTAAGCATACGTGCTTCAAACTTGTATGGGTAATCATTCTTTCCAAGTTGTTTATAATCTTGATAACTTGATAACTTAGGACTTGTTTGGGATTGATTTTAGATATAGATCAAGAATCACTTTTCTGTATAATCTTAAAATCACTTAAAGTGATTATATGAAGAGGCACGTGAGAGGTACTTCCACTCTCAAGTGATTCTCGCTTATCCAGTACATGCTTTAAACTTGTATGGGTAATCATTCTTTCCCAGTCATTTGACCAAAAAAATTATTCTTTTCTAGTTGTTTAGAATCTTCATAACTTATATTCTAGACAAAAACAAATGTCATTTCAAGCTCAACGCAAATTCTAATATTCAACCACACGATTTAATGGATATTCAAAAATGTATAAATCAATTTGTCAAAATATGAAAGTATAATTTTTGGAGAATGGCTTGTGAGGCAAGTGAAGAACCCGTATCTAGATTCCTCTCTTACTTGGATTCATTAACCATAGTCCGCACCACGTTCGCCAATTCAAATAGGTCCAATAACCTTTAAGACAATTTAAGATTACTCACATTCCTCAAAATTAAATAACATTGAAGCCTGAAGGGATTCAATCATAATCTAATGGTGCGTTTGGATAAGGATAATGATATTTAAAAGTACTAAGAGCATTCATAATGGATTCCCTAAACCATCTATTTAGATAAAATTTAGGGAGGAAGTGAGAAAACCCACCTCCAACCATGCTCCCTATCAAGCTCCTAAAATACGGAGACTTCTAGGAGCCCCTAAATCTGAGGAGAGAGAATAAACTCCTAGTGGCTCCTTATAATTACATGTTGCCTTATTTAATGAATATTTTAAATCTAAAATTAATATTGAATTAAAAAAGAATTATAGCATTTATGACTTCCTAAACTAGAGAGTGTGATTAGTTGAAATTTTATAGCAAGCTCCTAAAATAGATTTTGTGTGTTTTTAGTTAAATTTTAACTAAAAAAATAGAGAGCATAATTGTAAATGCTCTAAGAAATTCATAAACGATGGAATTTAAAATGACGAAAATTAATGTTCTAGAATTTGTAAAGTTTCTTGTTTGGCTAATGGATTTAAACACGGAATTTAACGTTTATCATCTTTGAATATTAGAAATGATGACTATTTACATATAGAATTTAAAGTTGGGACTTATGACCTCTAAATTCCATTTTTTTTTCCCACGTGGAATTTCTAGATTTCTTGTTTTATTTATTTATCCAAACACAGGAATTGGTTTATGTTAATTTAAAAATTCTAACTCTTTTCAAAAATTCTAAATTTATTTTCCTCATCCAAATGCACCGTAATAGTTTAGGTATTGAACTTATTGAAATTTATAAATTTAGAAAATGTGAAAGAAGTATGCAACTTTAAAAATAAAAAGACAAAAGGACAAAAGTGAAAACGAAAGAGAAAAAAAGAAGAAGGTTGAATCGCCATAGGACATAAAGATATGGTCTAGTTTTTGGTCAATATAAGATAAGATGAGATATGGCTTGAAGTGTTTTTTTATATTATTTTTTATTATCGAATATGGCTAAAGTAGAATAACTGTGACGTCCGTTCTTGGAAACCCACCTTGTGGTGTGGGCCGTTTGATGGAGGATGATAATAGGAGGAGGGCCTCTAGATCTAGACACAGGCTTTTATTTTCATGTTTAGTTGTTCTTGTTTGGGATTCGGCTCACTCTTTTACACAAAAATAAATAAATAAATAATTGTGCCGCTTCCAGCTTGTACTATCACGCTAATCTTTGATTAAAAAAAATATATCACGCAACAAAGGTGGTTGGTGTGAGTGGTTCGGCACTCTCATTCCTTAAGAGAGGTCAAGGGTTCGATCCCTGCTCTCGTACGGAGTCACCACTTTGGCCAACACTTTACCCCTTACGGGCCGACCCGGTGTGAGTGGAGATTAGTCTGGGTTGTGGTTAAGGCTTAAAGGTGCCACCCATAGTTATGGCCCATCCAGGACCACCTCATGGTTTAGACCAAAAAAATATATATATATATATATCACGCTAATTTGACTTTAAACTTGTTATAAATAACCAATTTCATAAGGTTTTCGAATTCCATTTAATTTCCTATCTAAATGTCGCTCTGTAGCACGTGACCAATATTTTTTAAAATTAAAAATCATAAATTAAATTAAAATTAATAATAATAATATTTGTTTCCGGATATTTAGCATAGCTAAGTACAAGCAATGGCTCGTATTGCATCTGATTTAGCTTGGATCATATTGATTTTATTTGATTTACACATTTTTGGGCAAAAACCTCCTCTACTGCACTATGATAATCTAGGGTTATTCGTAGCAATGGTCCCTCAACTATACCCATAGTTGCATTTTCGTCATTCAATTCAATTATTAGTTGCAGAGGTCACTTAAGTAGGTGTTGTGTTGCACC